TGTAAATCTTTCATCTCTGTCAGAAATCATAACTTTTGGAATACTGTTCAAACTGATAATTTCTTTGACATACAATCTAGCCAACTTTTCAACTGAATTTGTCTGATTGGAAAAAAGTAAATTGATTTGGTTAGCTTATTAATAATGACCCAAATACTATTGTGGCTCAGTCTGAATCGAGGAAATCCCTTAACAAAATCCATGGTATTGTTTTCCCATTTCCATTCAGTTACAGAAAACAATTGTAGCAATCCATTGGGTCTCAGATGCTCAGCCTTTACAATCTGACATGCTTGATATTGAGATATATATTGAGCAACATCCTTCTTCATACCAGACAACCAGAATACCAATTTCAAATCTTTGTACATTTTAGAGCTGCATGGACGAATTCTGTCCTGAATGATGAACTTCATATATAATTTTCTATCTCAATTAAGAATCAACAGTACCCATAACTGCAACTTATTTCTAATAATGTCATTAATCAACAGTCATATCTGACATCTTCCTTGATTGAAATTGTTTCAGAAGTCTCAGATATTCACCATCACCTTTTAGAGCTGCCTAGATTCCATCTATCAAAGTAGGTTGCACTATCAACTGATGTAAATATTCACTATCTTCTGGTCTTCTAACTTCCAACTATAAGAAATCAATTTCTTTAATCAAACTCTGACATTTGAGTGATAATACATCTTGCACTACTTGTGGATTTACGACTTAATGCATCGACAACTATATTTGCTTGGCCAGAAAATTACTGTATATTCAGATCATAATCTTTGATCCGCTCTAACCATATTCACCACCTCAAATTCATTTTTTTTGTGTGTGAAAATGTACTTTAAACTCTAATGATCAATAAAGGCTTCACATTTCATGCCATTCAAATAATTTTGCCAAAACCTTGAGTGCAAACGCTTCAACAACTAACTCCAGATCATGCTCAAATTATTCCTCTCTTGTGGCTTCAATTGTCTATATGCATGGACCATCATCCTTTTATTTTGCATTAAAATGCAACAAGCCTTGCAAAGATGCGTCATTTTAAATTTGAAATCCTTTTCTACCTGATGATAGCTCACTGGAGCAGTAGTCAAATATTTCAACTCTTAAAAATTGTGCTCACATTTTGCATTTCACTCAAATCAAATTTGATGTCTTCACTCAGCAGCTTGAACAAAGGAATAACTATTTGTGGAAAACCCTTTACAAATCTCTTGTAATATCCAATCAAACTAAGAAAACTACATACCTCAGTAATATTCTTTGAAGTATGCCATTTCACAATTGCCTTCAACTTCTGAAGATCTACTGAAATGTGTTTTAACATTCCGTGATACAAAAATTTTCCCGGTTGAAAGGTCATAGACTCTATAGCCCTTTTGAGTGTATGGATACCCTAAGAAAAGACATCGAATGTCTATGGGATCAAACTTGGTTGGTCACTGATGGTGTGTTGAAGCAAAACAAAGACACCCAAACACGTGTAAATGATCATATGTGGGTTGTATTTGGAAGAACATTTTGAAAAGAGTCTTTCCTTGGAGAATGGATGTTGGTGTTCTGTTAATTATGTAGGCGACAATTAAGATTGCATATTCCCAAAATTTTTTGGGTAAATTGGCTTGAAACAATAAAACTCAGGCTATGTTGAGTAGGTGACGATGTTTTCTTTCGGTTACACCATTTTGTTGCGAAGTGAAAACACAACTGAATTGTTGAATGATGTCTTTGTTGAGATAAAAATTCCTCAATATGAATTCAGCACCATTATTACTTCAAATGATTTTGACCTTTAGATTGAATTATGTTTCAAGAAGGTTTATGAACTTAATGATGTATGAATGTGTATTTGATTTATGATTCATCAAATAATTACATGTGCATCGAGTATAATCATCAACAATTGTTTGAAAATACCGTGCTTATGTGATTGAAGGAACTTGGTATCCTCCCCAAATATCAACGTGAATTAATTTAAAAGGTGTTTTTGAGCAAATAGAACTTGTTTGAATAGACGAATGAGTTTGTTTAACCAATGGATAAATTAAACAAACAAAAGCATTACATTTTCTTGTCTATAATTGAGAAAGGAAACAAATTGGAAACTTTATTCGATGGGTGGCCTAGACGTATGCCAGAGATTTGGGGATGGTGAAGTACCGACATTGCACTTGTTCTATTGTGGAGTATCAAGGTAGTAGAGTCCTCTTTTAGTTCCCGTCCCAATCATCTTCTCCGATTGTTGGTCCTGTAGCACACAGTGTGGTTATTAAAAATAACAACACATTGTGAATCAATCACAAATTTGCCAATGAAAATCAAAGTTAATTTAAAGGAAGGGACACAGAACATTTTATAGAATGAAGTCATTAAAATGGATGTTGCCTATGTGCGTGACAGTTGTAATAGTTCAGTTAGATAAGTGATTTTTTCAATTGGTGATACTGAATTTTGTAGTTAGTAGGTTGGCCGAATATACCATGTGATCCGTTGTTTCTGTGTCAAGAATCCAACACATTTCTTTGCCAAAAAACAGAGGCACAAAAAGTTTTACCTAAGATATCACTCATGGCTGATGTACTACCAACATGATTAGCCATCGAATTAGATTTGTTCTTTGCAAGTATTGACATGAGATTTTGATATTGTTCGGCTGTAAGGGTGAATGGTGCAGAACTTGTAGATGTATTGACATCTGCATGGTTGGCTTTGGAAGCAAAATTTTTCCGTTCAAATTTGTTGTCTGTTGGATTGGCCATTTGCAGCTACCTACAGTCATTTGATGGTGTCCCTGCCATCCACAATAATTGCATTTGAGATGTGCTCGACATATGTCTGTGGTATGCCCAATTTTGTCACATATTTCACACTTTAAATGAGGACTTTTAGGCGTGAAAACGCTCTCTGGTTTCCGTGCGTTATTCATCATGGCAAAAGTCGAAGAGTCTGGCTACGACATACTTCCATTGTTCATCATACGCTGATTTTCCTCTTGGAGCGTGAGAGAATGTGTCTTGCTAACATTGGGAAGGGGATCCATGAGCAAAATCTGCCCTCTTATATCAGTGTATGTTTCATTAAGGCCCATGAGAAATTTCATGGTTTTCTGATTTTGTTGAAACTACATCACTTCCTTCATGACACCACACGTGCATTTAGGAATGTTATAGAGGGTGCCACGTTCATCCCATAGGCATAGACCTTTGAGCTTGGTGTAATAAGCTCCAACCGTCATATCGCCTTGCTTGCAATCGTGGATGATACGGACGCTGTTGGTACAAGAAAAACGTTCCTTCAAGTCGAGCCAAATTTCATGGGCATTCTCATTGTATATTATACATGCCCCAATGTCTTCTGCAATTAAATTAAACAACCATGCCTTGACAAGATTGTTGCAGCGCCTCTATTGTTGAAGTTTTGTGGTGGACATCTCTGGTGGTTCCTTGATGGTGCCGTTAACGAAACTTTCTTTGTTTTTGATGCCGAGAGCCATCAACATGGCACGAAACCAGGTATTGTAGTTTTCTCTATTCAGCGGTTATGTAACGAGCACGAGACCGGGTTGATCTTAGTGGTGAAGATAAAAATGGGTTGTTCGGATTATCGAATTTTGCTAGATTCAGGCTTGACTGAATTTTGAGTTTTGTCTACCATGTGTTTCAACCTAGAGAGAGCGTGGGGGAGGCCATCGACAAGCTACGGTTTCGAGATTTTACGAGAGAAGAAGAGGAGATGGTAATGCTCAGAATCGTGTTTTCTCTGATACCATGTTAGAGAATAATGTATGAATCTCTTATTTTTTTGCATTGTACAAAGAGAACTGATATTTATACAAAAATTTTAAGGTTTAGAATAAGAAAAGAAGACTAAAATAAGAACACAAATTATGCCTAAAGTTATGCCTATGCAATCAAGGCTATTTACACCATATTAGAACAATTAGTACTATTGATTCATTCTTTATAGTCACATTAATAATTAATTGGAAACTCATAATTATACACTAATTGCTTAATTTCATCCGGATATTATGCACATAATTAATCCTACATTTAATTACTTCTGGATATCATGCGTGGGATTGATCCTCCTTAACACAATATCATCTGATATAAAACATGACATAGTGCCCACAAACATAATAATAAACCAAGAAACATAGGGCCAATTTTACATCATTTGGACTCAATGACCCAACAGTATAATTGTCCAAAAAGAAAATACATAACATAAGAATAAAAATGCAACAAAACTATCCTAAGATAACTAGACCCAATGACCCAAAATGCATCACATGCATTTTATTAGACAATCTTCACTGAACTTTCTATTTTATTTAGAATCTTAAATGGCTTACTAATGGAAGGGATGCAGTAAGTTGTTTTTAGAGTGTACGCATATATTCTCTTGCCGCTATCCTACTTTTGGTAACATATTAGATTTCTTTTCATTAAAGTGAAACTAAAACCTTCTGGAGAGGTATGTGGCCATCAATGAGCGTTCACCGAGCCTTAAAAGGCTTGTTGGAAAAATAGTTTCTAGTATTTATTAGGGATGAATGGAAATGTTCTAATGATAGAAGTGGCATTTACAGACATACCTCCCAAATCCTATGTATTTGCATATCCAACACCTAAAATTCACTTGTTATATTTCTACCACCCAAATCCTTCATATCAGAACAAAAACACCACTGTTTTATCTTCTAAATGTGAAATACACCTTTTCATGCATATAGACAAGGCGGCATGCATATAAAAGTTAATGTTTAGGTTTTTAATATGTAATTACATAAGAAATGAGTGGTATGTATGGAAATCTCCCAAAATAAAATCTCTTTTTCTTCTTGGCCTTTTATAGTAGCTGCATGATATGTTTGCTTAAGGTTTACAAATGATCCATATATGTCAGTTTCAAACCTTATGGAATTTATGATATAAATCCATGGCTATTTCCTAAATCTGGCCTGTAGTAATTGCTCCAAATCTCAGGTGACATATTGCCCTGATTGCAGCAGGGCATGCAAGTATGATACTGAAGCTATTGTTGGACAGCAGAGAGTCATGAAAGGTAATGACTTCTTCAATATTGTTTTTGGCTGCCTTTTTCTTGATGAAATGAATCATGTAACGCCTTTGTAACTGTTTTGATATTGAGGTTTTGCTGTATTAAAATAATAATAATTATAATAATAAAAAACAAAAAATGGTTTAGATTTATTTATTTATTTATTTTAGGAACAACTTTGAGATTTAATTGGAGGATTTAATGAATTTTGTATGCTCAGATATGGTAATTTTTTTAATCTGATGAATATTGAAAACAATTTAGTATGATAGAATTAGATTTGATTAATCCTAGTTAACTATTTAACAACTTATTCCTAAGTTTTAGTTTAGATGAAATTTTAATACTAATTATTTGATGATTTAATTAGTAAGTGTTGTTTAATTTTAATTTATTTTTGAATTAGTTATAGTATTAATTATTAATTAGCTATTTATTAAGGAAATTTATCATCCTAGAATTTCAATAAAATAAAAAATCATTATTTAGTACATCAATATTCACTAATTAATTTAACTATATTTTTATTAAAATAATTAATGATTAATTAGCACTAATACTAATTAAATGAAAATTATTATTTATTTGTCAGGCATGTAAATAAAGATATAAATTATTATTAGCTTTAATTAAATTAGTTAAAATAAAATTTAAAATTTTAATTTTATAATTTCTTCATAATTAATCTTTAATAAATTATAAAATTAATAAATGTTTCGTTAATCAAATCAAAACACAAATATTGGTAAATTAATTACTTGATATTAAATAGATAATATTTATTAAATGAATATTACAATCTTTCCCTCATTCCCTCCTGCCTGAAACTGAAATAAAATCCAAAATTTTATGAGTTCAACTTATTCAAAGAAACTATTTTGCAAAGTTTAAAGTTAACTCCCTGCTAACTATGCTACTAAATAGACCTCTTCTAGTGAAAATTGTAGAATGAGCAATTGCATTTGGTTTTCCTAACACAATTCTCCTTCAGAAATATTTAAGGCACTCAAATGCCATAACTAATTTGCAAAGTTTAAAGTTAACTCCCTGCTAACTATGCTACTAAATAGACCTCTTCTACTGAAAATTGTAGAATGAGCAATTGCATTTGGTTTTCCTAACACAATTCTCCTTCAGAAATCTTTAAGGCACTCAAATGCACATTGAATGTCATCTGATCAAAGGATTATTAGTCGGTTGTCCGATGAAGTGGTCTAGAATCTCATTATTTGCAATCTTGAATCTATTGAAACCTAGCCCTCTCTTGAGAGGGGAACCCGATTTAGAGCTTGAAGAAGATTGGACTTTAGAGGAGCTGAAGTTTAACATCGTTTATACACTGAAAGTCAGCAGATTCCTCCCTCTCGTGCAGTTGTCGACCACTGTCATTCACCACCCGTCAGACTATTTGTCACCACCTACTTTCAGTGAAGTCCCTTATAGAGGCACAACTTGCATTGCAAAATCTCAGTATACGTTGTGAAACACTGAAACACCTAGCAGAGCAACACATTGTTCAGTACACAGTGTAACAACACACTCCGAATGCGATGCAACGACACACCGCGATAGTGGTGTAACAATACACCCCATATACGGTACGAAAGTGCCTCGCAAAGATGGTGTAATAACACACTATGAATACAATGCAACGACACACCCTAATGATGGTGTAACAACACACCCGAGATATAGTGCGACAACGCCTCTTGAAGACGGTGTAATAATGCACTCTGAAGTGGTGACTTTCTTCTTACTCTTAAAGCTCCCTCTGCACATCTCCTAGATTTGCTCTTTTATGACCAATAAATGTCATCACAACGCACTACTATTAATCTATGTGACCAACTACAACCTAGTAGTCCACTGCTCATGCAACTTTCAACTCTAGCTTTTTGGGGCCTATGAATATCATCATATTTACCACTATGCTTACATGATCCACAACTCGTGCAATTCTAGACTCTAATCTTTACTGCCTACAAACGTCATCACAACTCACCCATACGACCTACTTGATCAACTATGACCTATGTGGCTCACAATAGGTGCAGCTCCTAACTCCAGCCCCTACAACCTGGAAACATCATTGCAATTAACTACCATGACCTATGTGATCAACTACAATCTACATGACTTACAACTTATGCAGCTTTCGACTTTGGCCCCTATTGCGTACGGACGTTATCATAGTTCACCACTACAACCTATGTAAACTCTGCGACTTACGAACGTCGTCATAGCTCACAACTATATCATATGTGACCAACTATTGCCCATGTGATCCACAGCTTGTGGGGCTCTTAAATCTAGTCCATGCGGTCTACGGACGTCATTGCGACTCACTGCTACAACAAACACAATCAATTACGACCTACATTGTCCACAACTCATGCAGCTTCTGACTCTGACACATGCGACAAACATCAGCTCGCCACTACAACCTACGTGATCAATTGCAACCTACATTGCCCACCACTCATGTAGCTTATGACTCGAGCCCTTGTTATTTTCGGACATCATCACAACTCACCACCACAACTTTTTGTAACCAACTACGACCTATGTGACCCATAACTCATGTAGCTTCTAAATTCCGCCTTTGTGAGCTACGAACGACATCACAACTCACCACTACGGCCTATGCGACCAAATATAGCTTGCGTTGTTCATTTCTTGCGCGACTCTCAACTTTGACCTCTAAGGCCTACGATCGTTGTCACAACTTATCACCACGACTTACGTGCCTAACTCTGGCCTACGTGGTCCACAACTTCTACAACTCCTAACTCTGGCCTTTGCATCTTACAAAAATTATCATAACTCGCCACTACGGCCTATGTGACTAACTATGACCTATGTGATTCATAACTCGTGTAGCTCCTAATTCCGGTCGAGCTTACGAACATCATTACAGTCCACCACTATGGACTATATGAACAACTATAACTTATGTGGTTCACATCTTCCTACTGTGATCTCTGCAACCCATCGACGCACTTGAAGCAACCATCTTCAATCCACTACTACAATGGATTTCAACTATGACCTATATGACAAACTGATGCTACAACAACCATCTACAACATTACATGGACTTCTGCTTCCATAGTAATTGACTATGGCCCTTATAGCATGCTATCATCGAGAATTACAACCATACCAAAACTATTGTCAATGATCTACTATAGTGCATTTACCATGATCAACTTATAACTCCATCTTCCCTAATTTAAAAGAGTGAACATATATACTCACCATTCACAGTAGATTATTTCAACAGGATTAGGCCTCGTGATGCTTCCTCATTTCTAGAGTTTCTCATGTAAAAAATCAAGGTGTTTTCTCCTACTTACTTCTCTTTAATTATCCGAGTGTGTGTTGGGATTTCATGTAACGCTAAGATGATAATTCCTTACTTTGCTGTCACAGAATTTTTGACATACATTAGTTTGACGCCCTCCGTGGGAAACAAAGTCTCGTTCAAGATTGTCTTCATGTTTGAGACAACAAGCTTCTATTTTGTTTTCTAATGATATATATTATCCAATTGGCGAATGAACCTCCTTGCACCTCATATCATTTCTAAAGCATTCTTCGATGTGGGGGGAATCCTTCACTGCAGTATTGAAAGGAAACACCCCTGACACAGTTGTAGTGGAGTAGTCTTCCCACATCTTATCATACATAAAGTGATGATGACCTCTTCCAGACTTGTTGGGGG